AAGGCTAGTTTATCTATTTTTTAATAAAGAAATGGAGATGCAAGTTTAGCACCAGAATTCCATGATTTTTCAAAGGCACACCTTTTGGATCTAGAATAAAGGATGGTATTGGGCAATTTAGTTACAGGTTCCTTAGGAATAGAATTATGTCTTAGTTTAAATAATAAACACTAGCAAAAGGGTGTTGAAGTGAGAACATTTTTGGTTCAGATTTTCACTTGAGGGAAAGGATAAAATCTCCTTCAAAGAGAGGATCAGTTTAAACGATAAAATAGATTAAGTATCTTTAGATTGGGCAATCTACTTCCATAGTGATACCACCTCAGAAACCCAAGGAGGGGTCACTATGAGTTGGATCTGACTCGATAGCAGTCAGTTTGGCTGGGTTTTTTTTGTCACATTTAGTGAGAATCTGTTCCTTTCCTCCCAGAATTGAAGCTGGGTAAACCAAACAGTTGCTGTTGAGTTGATTCCACGTGTGTCAGACAAGAACTGTGCTCCATGTGGCTTTCAATGATGGATTTTCAGAAGCAGATCACCAGCTGTTCTTCCAGGGTGCCCCTGGGTGGACTTGAACTGTCAACCTTTCAGTTAGCAGCTGAACATGTTAACCACTTGCACCTCCCAAATTACACAGGCATAAAATCAATCCTTGTAACTCATTTTATCTTTCTCATTTCTCAGGGAAAGGAAACTACTGGACTCTGGATCCGAACTGTGAGAAAATGTTTGACAATGGCAACTTCCGTCGGAAGCGAAAGCGCCGCTCTGAGGCCAGCAGCAGCTCCACAGTGGCCACAGGGACATCAAAATCAGAAGAAGGGCTCTCCTCAGGATTAGGGGCTGGAATGGGAGGGAAGCCAGAAGGAGACAGCTCCTCCTCTTTGCTAAGGCCTTCCCAGTCCCCAGAGCCTTCTGAGGGCACCAAGAGTACTGCTTCATCTCCAGGAGGATCTATGCTCACCTCCACCCCTTGCCTCAATACCTTCTTCAGTAGTCTCAGCACCTTAAACGTCACCAGTAGTGGGAGCACCCAACGAGCTCTTCCTGGCAGCCGCCACCTGGGAATCCAGGGGACCCAGCTGCCCTCCAGCAGCTCATTTTCCCCCAGCTCTGTCTCAGAGGCCTCACCAGACACCCTGCAGCTGAGTAACAGCACCAGCAATAGCAGCAGCCAGAGATCTTCCTATTACAGCCCCTTCCCTGCTAGCACCAATGGGGGCCAAAGCAGCCCCTTCAGCAGCCCTTTCTACAACTTCAGCGTGGTCAACAGCCTCATCTACCCCCGGGAGGGCTCTGAAGTGTAGAGCAGTGCTTCTCAGACTTTATTTTCATATGCACACCTGGACATCTTGTTAAAATATAGATTCCAATTCAGTAGGTCTGGTTTTCTTGTGACCTTGTGGTTCACTGACCACACTTGGTGTAGCCAAGGGTGTGGATAACTCTCTCTACAACCCAGCAAGCTTTGACAGGTTTCTCTGGGTAAGGACTTCCCTAGTGAGAAATTTGCCTCACTCTGTTCTGGGATAGCTAGCTTGTAAGGGCAGGGACTGTCTGTTTTGTCCATCACTGTATACCAGGGTTGCAGGCTCAAATGTGTCCCAGCTGAACAACATAAATGAATGGAGTTGTTGGGTAGGAAAACTAATAGCAATTTGGAATGGCAGCTGAAGCAGTAGCACAATTGGGACTGACCAGCTTGGTCTGCTGGGGGCAGCTGGTTAGATCACCTGCATGGTAGCATTCTGATCTTTCTAGAAAATCCAAATATCTGAATTTTTATATGAAATCTCTTTTTATCCTTTGTGTCTAATTAATTTTTTAAAAAAATACCACAAATCCTTGAACTCATGAATCACCTCTGCTTATACTCAGTGTCTGGTACCTGGTAGACACTAATAGCAATAAAACAGTAAAAGTAAGCCCTGTGTACCAGGCACTGTTCTAGACAATGTATATGTATGAACTCATTTGATCCTCACAAAAACCCTGGGAGATAGGTATTACCCCTTATTGTCCATAGGAGGAAAGTAAAACTCCCAGATGTTAGGTGACTTACAAGGTCACACAGGATCAAATCCTGGAGCCAGGATCAGATTCAAACTGGCTCTAGAACTGGTGCTCATATCCTCTGTGTGCTAGTTCCTGAAAAATGAAGAAACCAGCATCCACAGGCCAACTTAAATGCATAAGGGCTAGGAATGGCGCTACATCTCTTCTGACCAAAGATTCTGGTTGAAGTCATTCATTTGACATGTCTCCCTGAGCAGCAAGGGGAGATTTCACCTCTGCCTTATTTTTGCTGCCATAGAACTAAGGCTTAGGGTGACCATTGTCCTAGTTCATGATGGCTACTAGCCTGGTGTACTTCTAACATGTGTCCTGGATTTTTCATTTTTTAACAAAGTATTATTAGAACTTTATTAGAAATAGTTTTGGATGGAATTTTTATAGTTATTTTAAATAAAATAAAACCATTGGCAGTCAAATTTTATTTATTTTAGCACTCCCCTTTCACTCTCAGATGTATCTCCATTTGGATAAATTTTTACGGCCCTGCTCGGCACAGGGCCTGGTGCCTGACACTCAGCTACGATTTGTTGAATGAAAGAATTTATTCAAAAAGTGTTCCATTAAAATGCAGGTAGTTGTTGGATTTATTGGAAGAGTGTTCCATTATGGTGAAGATAACGTGCTATAAGTTGCCTTTGTACCATGTCTTTGGGACTTTGATGTGAGTGTTATTGGTCTGTGGTTTTAATTTAATTTTTTAAGGAAAAGGAACACAAGGATGTTGTAAAAAATTTAAACTTTTCCCTCTGTGTTCTTTTTTCAAGACTTTGACAGAATTACTTAATTTTTTAAAGAAATTTTGGAACATATCTACTAAAAATTAGGAAAACAGCTTTGTAGAGGTATACATTACAGCATTATTCTTTTAAAATTATGCAGAAAGAAAACCAAAGAGACTATCTATCACCATACTGTAAACAAACAAAAATCTGTTTCTATGATTATTTTTGTATGTGACAAAATTGTATGGATTTTTATAAATATTGTTTCTAACACAATTCTATATTTGTAAATTAATTTATAATTTTAAATGAGGCAAAGTTGGACACTGCATGCAGAGAAACACATGAAAATAAACTTTTAAGTGGGGCCACTTCTGGGCACCTTTAGGTATTATGATTTTTGGTCTTCAGCTTCTTTCTGCTAGAAGAATGCAACATAAGTGTGCAAGGCATTGAAGCCTCTTCAGGGTTTCTGTGTGTGTGTGTGTGTGAGAGAGAGAGATTCTTTTGATTTGTTCTACCAATTCACCTCTGAAAGGACCTAAATAAAATAATTACTCTTTTGTGGGGTAGGGGCTGTTAATAGGTATATGAGCATGAGCATTTGGTTTATTTGCAGACAGTAAGGGTTCTGTCATTCAGATGAAATTGAATTTCCATGTATCAGAAAATTTCTATTCCAGAAAGGAACTAGGTGCTATAAAGCCTCCCCAGCAATTGTTATGTGCTGTCGAGTCGGACGCAACTCATAGCAACCCCTCCTTGGGTTTCCTTGGGTATCACTATGGAAGTAGATTGCCCAGCCTTCCTTCTAAGGAGTGGCTGGTGGGTTTGAACTGCCAGCCTTCTGGTTAGCAGTCAAGTGCCTTAAGCACTATGCTACCAAAGCTCCCAGAAAGAAAGGCTGGGGAGGTGCTGTAAAGCCTCCCCAGCAGTAGTCCTCAGGTGAAGCTCTGCACCCGAGGAGCTTGAGGGCCTCAAGGGGACTATAGGCAGCCAAACATTTCCAGGGAAATGCTAGAAAACTCTAGAAGAAACCTGAAAGATGTTTGTGGCACTACTGATAATTTGGGGCTGGATGATTCTTTGTTGGGTGGGGAAGGCTGTGCTATGCATCACAGAATGCTTGGAAACATCACTGGGAAACATCTAACTCATCAGACGTTAGATGTCATCTCAGGTGTGACAAGCAAAAATGTTTCTAGACGTTGCCAAGTGTCACCTGGAGGGAAAATTTCCCTTGGATGAGAGCCAATGATCTAGATTAACACCCACAATTTGCCCATAAGGAAGTGGAGTCCACTGCCCCAAAGGGATTTGCTAAAGTTCTATGGCTAGCAGTTGAACCTCTGAATGAAACAGGCCTCTTGAGTTTCTGGTGCAGGATAGTTTCTGCCTACACAGTGCCTTGTTTAAAAAAAAAAAAGAAAATCACTTGTGACTGGGAGTACAGTACTGAGTATGGAGATCAACTGGTTTGCTTCATCACATTAGAAGTGGAATCCTCCGATATTTTGTTGTTGGTAGGTGCCATTGAGTCCGTTCTGAATCATAGCAACCCCATGCACAACAGAACCACTATCCTCCAATCATTGCTATGTGTGAGCTCATTGTTGCAGTCACTGTGCATTTTAGTTACTGATTATTCATATGGTAGCTTCCTTCTTGGCATCTAATTATTTATTAGAGAACTAGGACTGTGTGTGTGTGTGTGTGAGAGAGAGAGAGAGAGAGAGAAAGAGAGTACTACCAACTCACCTCTGAATAATTTCCACCAAACAAAAATAAACTCTATCCTTTTTGGGAGAGAGAGAGAGAGAGAGAGAGAAAGAGAGTACTACCAACTCACCTCTGAATAATTTCCACCAAACAAAAATAAACTCTATCCTTTTTGGGAGAGAGGGAGTGGGAGGAATTCTTAGAAAGAAAGAAATATTAGAAAAACATAACTTGGATTTGAAAGAGCTGGATGGCTGATATTATCAAAGGCCAGCACCATGCCATTTATTAGCACAAAAGCAAAGAGAAGAAAATATCCAGAATCTACTTGCATCTCTTGAACAACCGCAAAAGGCAGCAACTAGCCCCCTCCGCACTCCCATGACTGAAGAAGTTGTGCTATTTTGTGCAAATCTCTATCAGGGAATTGAACCCTTCTGGGCACTGGCTTAAAGAGGAACAGAAATGCTGACTCTGCCCTTCATGGTTTCAGGTCAAAATCTGCCCTCAGCATTCCAGTTGGCACTGATTTTCTAGAGCCTCAACATTTTCTGTCTGGGACCTAGTAAAAAATTCTGAACCTGAGCTAGATTTTACTCTCCTGAACTATTTTCTGTAGTTCAGGTCATTGCAGAGGGAAAAGCGTGGTCCCATGGCATGTAGTAAGACCCTTCTTTCTCTGGGGTTTCTTCACACATCCTTAGGTTGGGGGGCTGATTTGGGCAATTGCAGTCCAGGCAATTGAACACATTTATAACTTAAAGCAGCTGTCTTCAGTCTTCTAGGACCTAGTGTACCATTCAGAATAAGCCAGAGGCGATGGAGAAGCTAATAAGCAGGTTTCAGGTTTCTTTCTTGACACTTTTATCTTTCATCCCATTTTAGAGTTTACTGGGAAAAAAAAGGCAGTCAGGGAGTCCAAAGTCTCCCTGAAAAGCGTGTGCTTTTGCACCTCTCTTCCTCCCAGGGCAAACTGGGTCAAACTTTGGCTACAAGGAAAGTCTCCGAACTTCAAGCACATCTTAAACTCTGCTTCTCAGAACTTGGAAAAATCTTCAGGATCTGCTTTTTTTTGTTTGTTTGTTTTCATTAGCTGCCCTGGTAAGAGAATGATGAGAATGCCTTGGTTGTTAATGAAGAAGAAACCCCTGGTGGTTTCCTAAGGCAGGGCGTTTTCTGGTTCCTGAAGTAGAGACTTGGCTGCCGACCTGGCCTTGCCTTTGTCATGGAAAACAGTCAGCTGGGCGTGTGACTGAGTGGCTGGCACCAGTGAAAGAAGAAGGAATTTCCTGTCAGATTTGAAAATAAAAAGGGCCAGAAAAGACCAGACACCTACTGAATTTCTCCTTGCTTTTTCATTCATGATGTCAGTGGATTTTTGCCAAAACCCTGGGAGGCAGAGAGTCCTTTATCATTTTAAAAAAGGTAAAAATTACAATAATAATAATTCTCTCTTTGTGTTTCAGATATTGTTCTAAAGCATATATTAATTATAAAATAAATATAATGACACTGCCAACAAGCCTGTGAAGTAGTCTGTTGTCCATTTTACCAATGCGAATACAGAGGCCTGAGGAGTTTATATAACTGGGCCACGGTCGTGAATCTATGTGGTTGCTGCTGGTAAGTGGTATAACTGGGGTTCAATATCAAGTTATCTCATGTCAGGAAGCCCCCCCGGTTGCCAATAAGTTGATTCCACCTCATAAATCCCAAAACCAAACCCACTGCCATTGAATTGATTCCAACTCACAGTGACCCTTTAGGACAGAGTAGAAATAATGCCCCAT